TTCGCCTCTCACATAACGGTGCATTCTGCCTGCGTTCGTGATTTGTGTGCGATTCGGAATGCGCGCTTTACACCCTCTAATTCCAATACATGACAGATCGAATTGTTTTGTTTTCAAGGATGTTTGTGTTTTTTTCTTTCTTCTTCATTGGTTTCAAGGTTGACGTGATTCGATTTTTATCTTAAACGTTGAGATCAAGCGAAGTTTACAGCAGGAGTCTCCGTTTTCTACACTTCTATCAGCAAGAGAGGAGCAAAACCATCCACCACCCCCGCATTGTTGTTTCGTAATCCGAGCCGGTAATCCAATGAGTTTCGTAGCCCTTTGAAGTTTATGCTTTAATCTGGCATCCTCTCATCTCATCTCGCTCGCACTCACTCGCCATAGCACGTAACCAGCCAGCATATGTGAACAACAACAACAACAACAACAACTGAAACAAGAGGAAGCGTAGCCAGGCAACAGCATTATGAGTGTCCCGACGTGTATCCACCATCACCCTACCGATAACACATGCCATATACTTGGTAGCTAGGAGACCGGACGCGATGCGCAATTATTTACCTGAAACACACGCACACTCGTTTCTATTGGATAAACGTAAATGAAATATTGAAATTGAAGATTCTTGAAGAATTCATCAAATAATTAATATTCAAATGAGAGCAAGACAATTAGCAAGACTTTTACAATGATTTATAAAAAAAAAAAAAATCTTGCATTACTCGATAACATAAAATAATTAATATTCGAATTAAAGTTAAGATTAAATGAAAATTGTACGTATATCAGTTTTTCAGTAATTTATGAACAAATTTAAAAATTCTTGAAAAATGTTTGAATTTTCTCATATTTTTCGAATATTACGTATGCCACATACAAAAGTAAATATTCATATTAAAGCTAAGATTATAGGCTACAATATGACCATAAATTCATATTTGTGTCTTTTGTCAATTTGTTGTAATTTATTAAGAAAATTCATAAACCAAAATTACAAGAATTATCTTCACATTTTGTGGTAAATCTCGATAAATACATAAGATACATACAGAAATAAATATTCATATTCAAGCTAAGATTATAACTTACAATATGACCATAAATTCATATTTGTGTTTTTTGTTGATTTGTTGTAATTCATTAAGAAAATTCATAAACTAAAATTACAAAGAGTATCTTCACATTTTGTGGTTTATCTCGACAAATACATAAGAAACATACATAAATAAATATTCATATTAAAGCTAAGATTATAACTTACAATATGACCATAAATTCATATTTGTGTTTTTTGTCGATTTGTTGTAATTCATTAAGAAAATTCATTAACTAAAATTACAAGGAGTATCTTCACATTTTGTGGTTTATCTTGACAAATACATAAGAAACATACATAAATAAATATTCATATTAAAGATAAGATTATAGGCTACAATATGACCATAAATTCATATTTGTATCTTTTGTCAATTTGTTGTAATTTATTAAGAAAATTCATAAACCAAAATTACAAAATTACAAGAATTATCTTCACATTTTGTGGTAAATCTCGATAAATACATAAGATACATACAGAAATAAATATTCATATTAAAGCTAAGATTATAGGCTACAATATGACCGTAAATTCATATTTGTGTTTTTTGTCGATTTGTTGTTATTTATTAAGAAAATTCATAAACTAAAATTATAAGAATTATCTTCACATTTTGTGGTATATCTCGAAAATACATAAGATACATACGAAAATAAATATTCATATTAAAGCTAAGATTATAGGCTACAATATGACCTAAATTCATATTTGTGTTTTTTGTCGATTTGCTGTAATTGATTAAGAAAGTTCATAAAATAAAATTCAAGTTTCAAAAAACAATGTCTTCACATTTTGTGGTATATCTCGAGAAATACATATGCCACATACGAAAATCAATATTCATATTGAAGCTAAGAATATATGCTGTGATATGACCATAAATTGATGTGTATAACTTTCTGTGGATTTGCTGTAATTGATTAAGAAAGTTCATAAAATAAAATTACAAGTTTCAAAAAACAATGTCTTCACATTTTGTGGTATATCTCGAGAAATACATATGCCACATACAAAAATGAATATTCATATCAAAGCTAAGATTATAATCTACAATATATATTTATGACTTTTATGAATTTGTTGTTAAAAGTTAAAAGTTTCTGCAATCTACGTAAAACGCAATTTACATCTTCATGCATTCGAACACTTCCTGTTTTCGAGCAGCAGAAGATTATTAATGAATCTGAAAACAAGAAACACCAGCCGAAGTTATCCAACAGCGAATGTGCATTTCCTCGTAATTTAAAAGTGCCGCTCGACCGTGGAAATTATATAGAAAACATGCGATACAATTTCATATATTATATATATTTATATTCATATCATTGTTATTACTTAATCTCTGATTCCAGGCGAAAGTTTCTGTTATTGTTTCTTTCTTTCGTTTAATTTTTTTAAAACTTTGTGATTAACGTGCGAGAATTAATGGCGGAAATGTGTCGGCCGATTAATAATTACACAGACATGCACATTGGATTGTGCGTGAGATTCGGCTAATGAAAATCAAGCGTGCAAGAAAAACGTTTAAAACAGTTGGACTTAAAAAACAAAAGAGTTAAATAAATGAACAATGTGTGTATATACATATATATATATATAAATAAATATGTTTGCGTAACCTTGCTTTGTAGTTTGTAATTGCACGATACTCGAACTTATTATGTTTATCTTTAGAAACATTAGTCGTCGTGTGACGTGGAGTTCGCTTATTCCTTGTAATTAACGATCTAACGTTTCGTTAACTCATGTAATTTATACATATTGTTTCTTAAAATTATCAGAATTAAGTTTTCTAATTTGAAAATTTCGAACAAGAATATTGTTTGATGTCCAAATAGTTTGATGTAACAATGTAGTTTAACTTATCGCGTATAGTTTGCACGCGTTGTAATGTGCGGTGGTGGGATGTAGAGATGTAGTGTTTTCTTGATGAATAATTGCCAGTTCGTAGATAATTAATATTCTCGGTGGGATCAATCTGCATGCGAGTGCATAAAGTGCATCGTCGGCTGTGGTGGGTGGATGGGTGATCAATAAGAGTAGCGGAGAAGACCGTTAATTAACCCGAGGCCCGAGCACGAAAACGCTTTGTTAAGTCGTTTAATTGGGACATTGTTTGTACACACGCGACTCTGTTTACCGATTTGTCGGATGCACGAGTTGTTTTTATTCTGTCTGTTTCTTTCTTTCTTTCTAACTGCTAACTTCTTCGTTACAGCAAAAAAATGGATCTAATTTAAACTAATTATATAATCTATAAACTAAGTCGAGTGGTTACAGAAGAACGAACAAAATAAATTATTAAATTTTTGTAAAAATTGAAATTAAATTTGTCAATTTTGATAAACAATTATTTCAAATCTAAAAGGGATAGGTATATTAATTTATATACATGTTGTAACCTATAATTTTAGCTTTAATATGAATATTTAGTTTTGTAAATAACTTATGTATTTATCGAGATAAACAACAAAATGTGAAGTCACACCTTTTTTTTTAACTTGTAATTTTAGTTTATAAATTTTCTTAATGAATTACAACAAAACGACAAAAGACACAAATATGAATTTATGATCATATTGTAGCCTATTATCTTAGCTTTAATATGAATATTGATTTTCGTATGTGCCATATGTATTTCTCGAGATTTACTAGAAAATGTGAAGACACTGCATTTTTTTATTTTTTTAAACTTGTAATTTTATTTTATGAACTTTCTTAATCAATTACAGCAAATCCACAAAAAGTTATACACATGAATTTATGGTCATATCTTAGCCTATAATCTTAGCTTTAATATGAATATTGATTTTCGTATGTGCCATATGTATTTCTCGAGATTTACTACAAAATGTGAAGACACTGTTTTTTTGAAGCTTGAAATTTTATTTTTTGAACTTTCATAGTAAATTACAGCAAATCCACAAAAAGTCATACACATGAATGTATGGTCATATTGTAGCCTATAATCTTAGCTTTAATATGAATATTAATTTTCGTATGTGGCATATATATTTCTCAAGATATACCACAAAATGTGAAGACATTGTTTTTCTAAACTTGTAATTTTATTTTATGAACTTTCTTAATCAATTACAGCAAATCCACAAAAAGACACAAACATGAATTTATGCACATATCTCAGCCTATAATCTTAGCTTTAATATAAATATTAATTTTCGTATGTGGCATATGTATTTCTCGAGATTTACCACAAAATGTGAAGATACTCCTTGTAATTTTAGTTTATGAATTTTCTTAATGAATTACAACGAATCGACTAAAGACCCAAATATGATCTTATGGTATTATTGTAGCCTACAATCTTAGCTTTAATGTGAATATTTATTTCCGTATGTATCTTATGTATTTATCGAGATAAACCACAAAATGTGAAGATACTCCTTATAATTTTAGTTTATGAATTTTCTTAATGAATTACAACAAATCGACTAAAGACACAAATATGATCTTATGGTCATATTGTAGCCTATAATCTTAGCTTTAATATGAATATTTATTTTCGTATGTATCTTATGTATTTATCGAGATAAACCACAAAATGTGAAGATACTCCTTATAATTTTAGTTTATGAATTTTCTTAATGAATTACAAGAAATCAACAAAAGATACAAATATGATCTTATTCACATATCTCAGTCTATTATCTTAACTTTAATATGAATATTAATTTTCGTATGTGGCATATGTATTTCTCGAGATTTAACACAAAATGTGAAGACACTGCATTTTTTATTTCTTTTAAACTTGTAATTATATTTTATGATTTTTTTTTTTAATAAATTACAGCAAATCCACAAAAACACACAAACATTAATTTATTATGTTAACTTTAATATGGTGAAGCTTGTAATAAATCAAAATTGTTGTTGTTTTCAGATGAAGTTGTTGCCACACCTTCACCAGGTGATTCGATCATCGTCGAGAGTGGTGGCGGTGGCTGGAGCGACGGTGTGATCCTCGCAGTTCAGATCCTGCTGCCTCTGGTCGTGGCAGGACTGATTTGGGGCAGAAAGGCCATAGTTTCGAAGATAGTCACGCACTTTGATAGGACGTGCATCTCGGGTATGCTTGGAATTGTGATCATAAAGGATAAAAGCATGAATGTCGTTCGTGTTGCAGCCCTTTGTCCGACGATCAGCAAACGCGAGAGATTGCTGAAATGGACGTTGACGCAGCTTCCGTACCTGGAGGGCGGTTTCTCGGCAATCTGGAGGGACGGCTCACAACTCTGCACCCTAATCAACACGGCTGTCCCAGGTGCTTGTCCCAATCCGCACAGGCATTGGCGAAAACCTCCAACGCATGGACAGGCTTTGGCTTACAAATATTTAGGAGTAACTCCGGTATACTAATAATTTGTTTCTGTTCTTTTATTTAGTTGATTAATTTGTGATTCAGGTCTTTACGGATTCGGATTTTGAGGATCGCAGCTTCACGTTCAACGTGGAGAAGACCATGATCGAGTACGTGGCCAGTTTGCAGCAGGCCGTGGCGAAGATTTCGCGCACCGATGATGGCGCGATGGTTTCGTACTCGAACGACTTTGTAGCGCGCGGAATGGGGCTGGTGACCGGGGAGCAGCACCGCAAAACCATCATCTACATATATCCAAACAGTCCCGACTCCAAGAAGCTGTTGTTCAACGTGCGCGGGCCGTACAACTCCTTCGGTTCGGCGGCGCTTCGCTCCCCGGAAATGCAGCACAAAAGCGAAAAGGGCTTCTTCAAGAGCCTCTCCAAAGACTTCAGCAAAATACTGCTGAAGAGCTCCAACGGCAGAGAACCCATCAGCGACGTCCAAATCCAGGTGATGCACGAACGCGATCGTGCTCGCATCACCTTCATCCCGCAACATTCCGGCGTCTACGAGGTCTGTCTGACCACGAACGGTGAGCACATCGTCGGATCCCCGTATCACATCAACGTCGAGAAGAATCGATCGGGTCTAATCGACGAAATTAATGAGAAATCGTCGAAGAAATTATGCGAAGAGAACAACAACAACATCATCGAGGAAGAAACGATCATCAATCCATCAGAACCCAAAACGGATAGAGAATCAACAGATTTACAAGAAGTAATCAAAACCGAAGAGATCTGCACTAAAAGTCTAATTAACACGAAGGCAGAAGCGAAGAAAAGAAGGGACATTTCGGGATTCGAGAGCATTCCGATCAACACGGAATCCAACGAGTTCCAAATCAATTTCAAAAATAGGATTAAAGAATTCGAGGACAAATCGAAATTGATCACCAAATTGGAACAAAGTAAATCGATTGATGATTGTTCGAATGTGATCGTCGAACAAGAAAACGAGAGTGTTAACAAAGATTTAAATGATTCAGAAATGGAGAAGAGCGAATCTTTTGAGGAATCTTCAGAGTCATCTTTTGAAGTTGATAATGATTCTAAATTAGTTGTTAATGGTTTGATGATGAGTGATTCTGCGAAGGAGGAAATTGTTGTGGCTAAAGTTTTGAAGAAACGCGACGATTTTTCTATCGCCAAGAATAAGTTGGTGAAGTCGAGCTCAAACGAAGATTTCGCCAGCAAACGTAACCCGATAATCGGTAACGTGAGAGATAAACTGAGGCAAAGGTATGCAGAATCTCGGTCGGTGTACAGTATAGACGAAAGCAGACGTAAATTTGTGAGACGCGGTTCGAGTCTCAGCGACGATCTGGACAATCTGAAGGTGCCGATTTCAACGAGGACTGTAGTCGCCGATGAATGCTACCTAATTCTGCGGACTAGTCTAACGAAGTTAACGAACTCCGAGCAGAACATCTCCAAGTTCGATCCGGATTTGCTGGCGGGCCACAGCACAGCTTCCGCGCTATTGAAAAATACCGACGATGAAGACCGTCAGGCCGCTACCAAAGTTCCCACCGTTTCTTCAAGAAACTGCAACAAGGGAGCGAATTTGCCCAACCTCCTGACAGATCACCAGCCTTGTCTGGATTTCCGGGAACAATTCATGCGACGACGCGAGTACTGGGATCGCATCTCATCGCAGAACACGAGTTTAGCATCGAGCATGACCAGTCTCAACGAATCGCCGAAGATCTCTTCGCATCATTCCGAGATGAATCTGAAAGCTTACGAAGTGCGCTTCGATTCATCAAGATACGGTGGATCCGTGACCGATTTGAATTACTACGGAACCAAAGAGAGGAGACGCATTTTACTGGACGACGAAGACGGGAAAGTCCACGAGATCTTCGAGCCGATAGTCGATAGAATCAAACTCTTCGACGCAGCAAGTACGTAATTCAAAATAATGCATAATCATCAGAGCGTTTATTTAAAATGTTTAGGTCAAGCGGACGATTTGGATTTTGATCTGGATGGAAAAGGTGCAGCGAGTTTCAGGATTGGCGAATTGAAAACCGTTAAGAAAGTTAAGAGAATTAGATACATCCCTGAGAACGGCACGATCAAGGCGAAACTCAAGGAGCGCTTCGAGAAGGCGCACAGATTCTTCAAGAAGCTCGAGAGGAACGGTAATTCAAAAATACTAATGTGATAATTACATCATCAATCTTCTACTTTCCAGCTTCGAAAATCCATACAACAGATCAATGATTCCTCTTCACATGGTGTTTGATTTATTTTTTATATATTTAAATTATTTATGTTTTTCAATAAATATTATTTTTTGTCTATCAAATATTAATTTTTGCATTACCATCACCTTATTAATTAAAAAATGTATATATAATGTAGGCAACCAAATGTACATTTGATTAGTAATTAATGAAAATATTTTACATTATTAATTAACAGATATTGGATTCAATTTAGATGCTTTATGTTAATTTCTTTAATTGAATGAAGATTTTGAGCAGGTTTATTATATATTTTAATTATTTATGTTTTTCAATAAACTTTATTTTTTGTCTATCAAATATTAATTTTTGCATTACCATCACCTACTAAATATAATTCATTGAAAAAGAAATGATTACAGTGGTGCCTCGCATAACGAACGCCTCGCACAGCGAACGCTGCACACAACGAACTTCCTTTTCGTTCATTTCACGATTCATACAACGAACTTCGCTTCACACAACGAACTTCGCTTCACACAACGAAGTCGCCCCATCCATTCTCCAGCCAATGGATCAGCAAGCCGATTTCCTTCCTTCCTTCCTTCCTTCCGCGCAGGCAGTCGTTAGTCACTGAGCAGTAACTTAACTGCACCATCGGCCAAAAAGCGGAAAATGGATGAAGATGTGCA